GATCTGTTTGGAGCGGGGCATAATGGAGCTGGAAAAGACGTTTCTGAAAAAGGTTGAAGATTGACGGGTTGCTGAAGGAAATGAAGGAGGACATCTGGCGAGGGCCTACTTGCTGCTGGGACTGCGCGAGCTGGGAGAACTGTACGAGGGAGCCAACATTGCCGAGTCTGGGGAAGGATCTTCTAGGACCAAGTAGATAGGAATTTATTTTTGCTTTACAAATGTAATAAGGTCTATGGCCACTAGTGAAACTTTTATTTCCTGTTATTTAGTGTCATTTTGGGATTCGTCTTATTTTTTATCAATAAAATGAGGCATTTAGCATTCTACGTTCTCCAAATTTACTTGTCGCGAGGCCTACCTCGGGCACAACGAGGCTCCCAAATTAGGACACAATTTATATTCTTACACTATGTGTTTAAATATTGCAACGTTTTCTTCTCACGGTCCCTACTGACTCGTTACCTTTTGTTTTCACTTTTGCTTATTCCCCTCCCCAAAGGTTAGTTCGTACACTCTGGCATCGTCATCGTATTCCACAAGATCCAAGGGTTCTCTGCCTCCACCTCCTCCGCGTCCTATCAAGAACAAGGGAAAAATGGAAGATTTGAGTAACATCAGAAAGGAGAGCTCAATTGAAAGGGTAGAGACTTCTCAGGGTATTCAGGTTTCCAAGGAAAGTGCCTCCCAGCTCGAACAGAAGTTATTGAAATTTCAGGAAGAACTGGACTAAGTTCGGAACTTGGCAGGCTTGTCATTTTCCCTCACTACCCCGGATATCAGCTTCCCCAACGCTCAAAATCCCACACCTCCTCAAAACATCCCGAAGCCACAAAACCAATCCACTCCCCATCACCGTTGCAACACATGCCACACTTCAAGCAACACCCCGCTGCTCATCCCCGAACCACTAAACTCCACAAATGATCATCACCACAACACCCCCATCTATGTAGAAACCATGCCACACCCCATTCAGCCCCCCTCGAGCACACCTGAGTCTGATGACAAAGACTCTCTTATCAAGAATCTAGCCGCAGAACTCAAGAAGCTGACTAGCCGAGTTCAGGGTGTTGAAGGAAGCAAGGGGATCGAGGGACTGAATTACGAAGACCTTTGCATTCAACCAGATGTCAAACTGCCCAAGGGGTACAAACCTCCCATGTTCTAAATGTTTAATGGTACATGGGATCCCAGGGTACACTTGAGGACATACTGCGACAAGCTGGTCGGAGTAGGGATAGATGAGAGAATCTGGATGAAGCTTTTCATGAGAAGCCTGAAAGGAGATGCTCTGTCTTGGTACATTAGCCAAGACCCCAAGAAGTGGTCAAACTAGGTTAGTATGGCGTCTGACTTCATGGACAGGTTAAGGTTCAACATGGAGAATGCACCGGATGTGTTTTATATTCAGAATTTAAAGAAGAAACCTACAGAAACGTTCCGTGAGTATGCCACTCATTGGAGGTCAGAGGCTGCTAAGGTTCGACCTGCTTTAGGGGAAGAACAGATGAACAAATTTTTCGTCAGAGCTCAGGATCCGCAATACTATGAAAGACTGATGCTGATCGAGAACCATAAATTTTCTAACATCATCAAGCTGGGAGAAAGGATTGAAGAGGGCATCAAAAGCGGTATGGTCACTAACTTTGAAGCTTTGCAAGCCACCAAGAAGAGGGACGTAAGTGCCGTAATGGTTGCACAGAAACCAAATCACCAGTCAAATATCAGACCTACCCGATATATCAACTTACATATCAACCCACTCCAAATTTCCAGGCACCCGCACCTACCTATCAGTCACCTCTACCTCCCACATATCAACCCACTTCACCTAAATATTCCCAACCCGTACAAGTCTACCAAGCCTACAACACTCAACCATCCCACTACCAATCACCTCCCACTCGCCAAAACTTTCCTAGACCCCGACCAAATTTTACCGCAGACCTCCAAAATAATACACCGCCATTGCCGAGCCAATCGACCAGCTGTACGAAAGATTCAAAGCTGCTGGTTATGTCACCCCTGTCCCTGCCATAACTCCTGAAAACCCTCCCCAATAGATTAGCCCAAACAAAACCTATGCATACCATTATGTCATGAAGGGACATACTACTGATGAGTGCCGCTCCCTGAAGGACAAGATCCAGGCTTCAATTGATAACAACATTATCGTGGCAAAGGAGCCTGCTCCGAACGTCCGCAACAACCCTCTACCAGACCACAAGGGTGGAGGCGTTCATATGATTGAAATAGAAGATGATTAGGATCCCGAAGGATCAATCGGTTTGATCACGGAAGGTGACGATCCAAAGAAACCAACAGTCACTCTTAACCCGATTGTGGTCCAAATTCAGCCTTCTGAAGATGCTGAGGTGAACATGTCCATACCGCTTGAGTTTGAAGCACCAGCCTCTGCAAAGACGCCAACACCAATCGAGGTCGAGTTTGGGTCCCCAAAGGCGCCTGAGCCCTTTGAAGTTGTTGTATTACCTTCCAAGGCAAGGGTGCCTATTCCAGTAGCAATGACAATCGTAACACCATTCCACACAAAAGCTATACCGTGGGACTACACAGCCGAGGAAAGAAGAAAGGGAAAAGCCAAGTTTGGGGAAACAGTTGCAGCGCAGGGTATGACAAGAACCGCCAGGGTTTATACCCCAGAACACTTAGCTGAGACAAGTAAGCATACCCCTGGCCGACAAGCCATCATTGAAACTAGACCCGGTGATCTTTGGAGAAAGATACAAGCCAAGGAATACTCGGTCATTGACCAGATGAACAAAACACCGGCACAAATTTCTATCTTGGCTTTATTACAAAGTTCTGATGCACACAANGACTGAAACTACTTGTTATCATCATAATTTGGGCTGATTGCCATGTTTGGGCTTCGTGCCAACTATGTGAATCCTTCAGGGATTGATATCACTGTTTTCGCATTATTTTGCATACTATTTGATCTCGGTCCAGGGTTTTAATACTGATTTGCAAACTCAGCCATTTTTCTAAGATTTGAAAACTTAAACAACATTTTATTGACGTTTTGAGCTGAGAACTGTTATTTTAATATTGCCCAAGTGGCTTATGTGCATTTCTGGACTGAGGATGGATCGGGCTGCGCGCCGCAGCAGTGTTATAGTGATTTCTGGACATATGGTTGGCTCGGGCTGCACGCCGCAGCGGTACTGTATTGATATTGAGGCCGAGGGCCTGGTTGATGCCACGAGATGGCTTGATTATTGCGCTTGGGCTGAAGGAGCCCCTCCGGAGTCTGTACACACCCCCAGTGAGCGCCTCGGCGTTAAATACATGGTTGGCTCGGACTGCACGCCGCAGTAGGTACCTGAGTGTACCGGTCATATGCATTGCATTGCACTCATGCATTGGTTCCTGTTTGTATTACGTGTCATGACATTCAGCACTCTCATTTCATTGGCATCCATGCTACTTCTTGTACTGTTTACCAGATACCCTGGTGTTATTTGTTAATGGAGTGCTGTGCCTGAGGGGCTGACTTACGTGCTGACTTGCACTATCTGTTTCGCATTCATTTGCTTAACTGTTGAAAAAGATATTTTCAAAAGAGGTTTGTAACTGAGCCCAGATAGATTTTCTAAAGGATTTCACGGTTTTACTGTTTTCTCAAAGGGTTGCACTGTGCTATATAGCATGATGGCGTGCCTTTCGTGATTTCTTGCTGCTCAGTTATTATTTACTTTTATTACTCACTGAGTTGGAGTATTCACTTTACTCCCTGCACCTCGCGTGCAGATGCAGGTATTGGTTACCCGGTAGCGGGTTGAGTTGGTTGAGGATTTGCTATCGTAGCTGAGCAAGGTGACCGCCGGCGTTCGCGGCACCGGACTTCGTCTTTTGACTCTAAATTTTATTTTGTATATTATCGGCCTTGTAGTTGTGTTCAGATTTCTTTAGATGCTCGTGACTTGTGACACCCCGATCGGGCTATGTAGGGTTGTAAATTATCTGTTATAAATGCCATTTAGTCGTATTTATCCATTCATTTATGTTTAATAATTGTTAAAGAGACGAATTGGGTTAGTTGGTTGGCCTTGTCTCCACGAGAGGCGCCATCACGACCGGGTTTGGAAATTGGGTCGTGACAGTTGCGCCGTTGGTCGTATCGTAACATGTCACCCAACTGAAGGAGAACGATATTATCTCAGACTACTGTTGCTAAATGTGAGAGGACCGAAATCATATGCAGATCTTCGAACTATAAATGGGGAACGTTATAATACTTTTAGAGAATCCGCAGAAAAAAGGGGGCTGTTATACTGTGATAACAGTTTAATTGATTGCACGGCAGAGGCAGCAAGTTACCAAATGTCATATAGTTTAAGGCGTTTATTTGCTACATTATTAGTGGATTGTAATCCAGCTAATCCAAAAGAAATAGGAAACAATTTGAAGAGTCAATGTCAGAAGATTACAAAGTGTTACCTAATGTTAAAAGAAAAGATATCCAATATCAAGTTTTAAATCAGATCAATGATATTTTACACTCTATGGGTCATTATGTAAATGAATATGATCTTATCCCAGAAACAGTTCAACTATCTATACTGGAAAAAGAAGCGAAGGAGGTATTCTTTGAAAGAACCATCAGGGTTAGTGAAGAGGATATACTGTTACACAAAAAACTGAACACAAAACAATTGAAAGCATACAATGTGATTATTGACCAAGTATTTTCCAAGAAACCAGGAGCTTTTTTTATCGATGGTCCAGGAGGGACTGGAAAAACTTTCTTATATCGTGCTTTATTAGCGACTATACGTAGTAAAGGGTACATAGCTCTAGAAACTGCTACTTCTGGCGTTACTACTTCAATTCTTCCAGGTGGACGAACTGCACATTCACGTTTCAAAATACCTATAGACATTGATTAAAATTTCAGCTGTAACATTAGCAAACAAAGCTCAACTGCATGTCTGTTTCGTGATGCAAAATTAATTGTATGGGATGAAGTATCTATGGCTAAAAAACGAATGCTTGATGTTTTTGACTTGCTCTTAAAAGATCTTATGGATACAAATATTCTATTTGGGGGAAAAGTTGTTGTTTTTGGAGGTGACTTTAGACAAACTCTTCCAGTAGTTCGAAACGGGAATAATGAAGATTTTATTAGTGAAAGTTTACTATATTCTACCATTTGGGACGAACTTGAAAAATTGCAATTATCTGAAAATATGAGGGCAAAAACAGATCCCGCTTTTTGTGATTACTTGATAAGAATTGGAAATGGACAAGAGAGGGTAAACTTTAATAACAAAATTGACCTTCCAGATTCTATGATTATTCCTTTTACAACTGAAGAAGAATCTCTAAACCATTTATTCGCTATGACATTCTCAAATGTACACACATCCTCCTCTAATTCTTTTCTTGCAGATTCTCGCGTTGTTCTAACGACGAAGAATGATTTTGTAAATGAAATCAACGATATTCTTATAGCAAAATTTCCAGAAAAAGCTACTACATTTGTTGGTAATGACGAAACTGTTGAGCCTAATGATCAAAGTCAATTTGAAGACCTATTACACACTTTGAATCCTGCTGGTTTACCTCCTTACAAATTAACTTTGAAAGAGAACTGCCCCATTATATTGTTGCGCAATTTGAATCTGTATGAAGGTTTATGCATGGTACACAGTTGATATGCTGCGATATTAAGACACATGTTATCAGTGCTAAGATCGCGACAGGCGATTTTAAAAATAAGCACGTATTTATCCCAAGAATACCATTATTATCTTCACAAGACGAAAGATTACCAGTTCAATTTAAAAGAACACAGTTCCCAGTAAGATTATGCTATGTTATGACTATAAATAAGGCGCAAGGTCAAACTCTGGATTTTGTCGGAATATATTTGCGAGAACCTATTTTTTCACACGGTCAACTTTATGTTGCCTTATCGAGAGCAAAAAGTACAAATTGCGTCAAAGTGCTAATCCGACCGCCCACGCTAGCCAATCGTGATGACCATTCTACATATAATATCGTTTATGACGAAATCATCCAAAGAGCGTCCTTGTAAGTCTTCTGCTACCCCAAAATACAATAATTTTTTGTTTTATTTTGTCCTTTTACTAACATATATTTTGTTGCATTTTTTATACGCTTAGCAGTACTCACATCTATTTTTTTTTCCTTTTTGGTCAAATAGGCGATGAGGTTAAGAGTGGATTTCTACTTACCTCGAGCTTCGAAACAAGGTCAGTAATGAAAGTTCACGATCATAGATTTATATTACTACTTATAAGATCTTATTTGATCAGATATGATTGATCCACTTATCTTACCACAAATTTGATTTTAACAAAATCAGTAATTGGGTTTATGCAGGTAAAACAAAAAAAATCATCTTGTGCAGTTCAATTTGGAGATGATGTGTTAAGTTTGGTGGTGGAACCTCATGTTGATCATTCATTAGTAATGGCTCTTGTGACTGTTTATGGCTTGATACAACAAAGATCAATTGGGAATGTTTGCTCTATATTACTAAATTTATACGATAAATGTATGGTTAAATATGCTATTATAAGTTTAAAGCACGCGCTAACTATTGTTCTGGTCCACTTATGGCAGGAAATATCAATTATTTTTTGACAAGGACATGCTACTTTGTTCAGTGATTGTGGATTCAACCTACTTTGATTCTAATATTTTCTATTTCTTCAAGTTGTTCTTGGTTCTGCAATTAAGGTATTGTGTCAAGAGTTCGACTTATTTATACTGGATGTAAGCTACATACTTAATTCTCCAGTAGCTGGTCTACGTCTAGAATCAATGCATTAGTAAGAATAAGATGATGTCACTGTGAGATGGAAGAATATGTATGGTATTATCCAACGGCACCGTCTCTGATTTACCTTTTCATTGTAGCTTCTTTTGGATATGCACATATAGACATAGAGGGAAATTCGAAAGGCTGAGCAAGATGATATTTGTTGTCATTGTTTTGTAAACCAGCTTATGGTTGTTTTGAATTCTAAAATATTTGATTGCTCATTGTGATCATCGCAAATATACATTTCTATAAGTTGTTGTGCTTCTGCTAAAAATGACATTGCATTTCTTGGTGTATCTGTACTATAGAAAAGACATATTATATGGTATTGAAACAAAAAATTCCTAAATAGGCTGGAATGGATATAGAGCTTTCATATCATTGACCCCCATTAGTTTGGTATTGAGTCATTTTTGAGTGACTAATTAATTATCTTTTCTAGAATGTAAAAATAGCTTGCTGCTTTGTAGTTGCTTTAAAGAATTTACTTTATCCAATTTCAGATGTCGAGTTGTCAAATAACAGACAGAAGAGAATTCTTTTGTCTTGCCTCCCTTTTTTCTTTAGGTTTCTTGGTGCTTTTGCCATGCTCAATCTGTCATTCGGCCACAACTTACAACTTGCATCTGCTTTGTTGTGCCTGATAGGTGGTAGTGCTGCTCAGGCAGTAGCAGATGTTACTATTGATGCCTGTGTCACAGAGAACAGTATAAGCCATCCTTCTCTTGCCAGTGACATGCAAAGCTTGTGTGGAGTGAGTTCTTCAATCGGGCAACTGATTGGGTACACTATCAGTGGATTTTTGGTTCATCTAATTGCATCTAAGGTTTGGTATCGCTGGCTTAATTCTATCATTATCGATAGAATATTGAGCTAGAGTTTCGACGTGTGAGCTTAGTGTCATTACATTTCTAGTTGAGGGTATTGTTGACTTTATACTTATACGTGCCTTCCTGTGGCAATAGAACAGGCACGTCTATTTGGTTTTAATCTGGTTCTAGAATTATTCTTCATTTTCCTTTCTCTTTAGCTTCTTCATCTCTCTTTCACCGTCTGGGAAGACGCTTCACCAATTGGGTTTTAGATCAGATCTTCTTCTATTTGATTCGTGATTATTTTTCTATTTTTAAGGTAACCAAATTTCTCATCATGTTCTCCAATCCGGATAGGATTTTCACTGCTGAAAATCCGTTGAGAATTATTTAAGATTTTTGATTTATTCTGTTTACCTATGTCTAGGGAGTACCATATGGAAAGAGGTTAAGAGATGCACGAGAAGATTCTAGGTGGTATTTGCTTATGCCTTTTATATTACTAGAAGCTCCATTGTCAGGATTCAAAGGTGAACATGGAGTTTGTGGAGGGTTCCCATAAAACTCTAAATGGATGAGCTGCTTAAATAAGATGTCTGGTGGACCCTGGGTTTATGGCATGTTTTTTTGTCTCCTTAATTCACATTGCTTAAGAAACGGCAGATTTGCTACAGGACTTGCATTTGGATTCCGAGAATAAGTCCCTTCAAGCTCGTGACTCATCAAAGCAGGTACTGGTTGTTGCTTTAAATCTTGAGATTAATTTTGACTTTCCAATGCATGCCACTAAATGAAAATTTTGGCATCTTTGCTGTATTTTTTCATTAATGTTTGACAACATAGGATGTCTTGGTTGAGTTGAAAATTAACTCCCTTTACAGTCAATCCCTCTTTCTTGATAAAAAGGTTTCATCTGTTCAATATGCACCTGTTGAACCTGGCACCATGGCGAATGGAATGAACAAGCCATTTGAGAGACCAACAACCCCTTCAATCAGGATTTCACAGGGCCAAGCATGTTTTACAGCCCAAACGGATACACATCTCCAACATACCCTTCTTAAAACTATTATGGAGGTAACAAACACCAGACTGTATAGAGAGTGTTGTTTATCAATTGATAAAATGCTTAACAGCATGTTGTGTTGCCCATTATTTTGATTCGTCATTGGACATTCAGCTAAATTACATGATATACAGTTGTTAGTAAGGATAAGCTGCTAGGCAATTCTGAAATATCTAGGTAGAATTAGGATTGAAGGTCAAGAAGGTCTTTTACTTGGTTACCTTTTGATGGTATATATTTCATTCTATCAACAAAGCTTCTGCCTGTTCATCCTCCTGTGATATGGTTTTAATATAGGTTATGATGGATCATCAGGCAATGAGTGGGATGGATTTGCAAGCGCCGATGGAGTTGAAATGCCTCAAGTAATTTTTTTTAAAAATTAGCTATGTTTCCTTTTTTTATTTGTTTATTTTCCATCTATAGAATTTTGCCTTGAAATTGATTTTCTAGAATTTCATTGNACTGTGCTCATGTCGAGGAAGAAGCAGACAGAAAGCCTTGGTTTCATGACATCAAGGAATTTTAAGCCAAAGGAGAATATCCAGAGCTTGCAAATGCTACTCAGAAACGCACACTTCGAAGATTGTCCAACAATTTCTTCCACAACGGAGGAATTCTGTATAGAAGAACTCTTGATTTGGGTTTGCTAAGGTGTGTTGACACAAAGGAAGCATCAAAACTGCTAGACGAAATTCATGCCGGGAGTTGTGGTCAGCATATGAATGGTTTTGTCTTAGCCAAGAAGATACTCCGGGCAGGTTATTTTTGGATGACTATGGAGACGGACTGCATCCAGTATGTTTGAAAGTGCCACCGTTGCCAGATCCATGCAGATATGATAAAAGTGCCTCCAAATGAGCTTAATACAACAAGCTCGCCATGGTCGTTCGCCGCATGGAGAATGGATGTTATCGCACCAATCGAACCTGCCGCATCAAATGGGCACAGGTTTATCCTAGTAGCAATTGACTATTTCACCAAATGGGTTGAAGCAGCATCTTACAGAGCAGTGACCAAGAAAGTCGTGGCAGACTTTGTCTGTGACCGTATCGTTTGTCGATTCGGAATTCCAGAATTAATTATTACTGACAATGGTTCCAACCTCAACAGTGATTTGATAAAAGCCATGTGCGAAACTTTCAAGATCAAACACAAGAATTCCACAGCTTACAAGCCTCAGATGAACAGAGCTGTAGAAGCCGCCAATAAGAACATCAAGAAGATATTGAGAAAGATGGTAGAAAAGCATAAGCAGTGGCATGAGAAGCTGTCATTTGCTTTGTTAGGGTATCGCACCACAGTCCGCACATCGACTGGTACAACTCCCTATATGCTGGTTTATGGTACAGAAATGGTCATCCCCGCCAAGGTAGAAATTCCATCCCTAAGAATCATACAGGAAGCAGAAATCGACGATGCAGAATGGGTAAAGAGTCGTTACGAACAGTTAGCTCTCATTGATGGAAAGAGAATGAACGCAGTTTGCCATGGTCAACTTTACCAGAACAGAATGACCAGAGCCTTCAACAAGAGAGTCAGACCAAGACGGTTTACACCAAGGCAACTGGTGTTAAAGAAGATTTTTCCGCATCAAGATGAAGCCAAAGGGAAATTCTCTCCCAACTGGCAGGGTCCATATAAGGTTCATCGGGTTCTGACAGGAGGAGCCCTCGTACTTGCAGAAATGGACGGAGAAGGTTGGCCAAAACCAATAAATTCAGATGCAGTCAAGCGATACTATGCGTCACCATTTATGATCTCATTATGTAATTTGAACTACATCTGACCTGATTCCCGTTTAAGAGGGGATACGTAGGCAGCCTTATGGGTTCGGTCACAATTCAATAAAATTTTCATTCCCCCCCTGCAATTGGAAACTGGGGCAGAATTTTGAGGAGGACCCTTAAAATTCCGATGTAACATCAGCCGATCATCGCAAGCAGCCGTCAGAAGCATCAACCCATTAAACCGGGGTAGAATTTTGAGGAGGTCCCTCAAAATTCCGTAGCAAGAAAGGTCGCAATTTCTTGAACCACGTCGCGGTCGTTGGTTCATCTAAAAGCTATTTCTTAAAATATATATACATATATCATACCTTTAACAAAACTCATGCATGCCTATTTCGCTTTATTGAAAACGCTGCCCCGAGGGTACCTACAGTATCACCATAAATAGAGCGGATCCAGTCAAGCGAAGCCAGCAGGAACGCGAACTAACCGGTCCCTTTGCAAAACTCACGATTTTTCTTTGAATGTAGGCACCCAAGTCACAAATCATCAAATACATTTTTACATTCGCACTCCCAGAAATACAACTCTCGAAATTATCGCTTCACAACCAATATCCATACACGATATCCCCAGCAGCCACAATATCGCAATCGGTAACTAGCGATCCGCTATCAGCTAAGAATCTCTTACTACTTTTCATCTCTCATCTTCTGCATAAGGCTACTATTCTGCCTTAAGAGACTAAGCTCTGTCTCCATAATTGCATAAGGCTACTATTCTGCCTTCCGAGGTTAAACTCTACCTCCATTGGCATTTCTCTGCATTGGATAAGGCTACTATTCTGCCTTCCGAGACTATGCTCTATCTCCGTAATTGCATAAGGCTACTATTCTGCCTTCCGAGGTTAAGCTCTACCTCCATTTGCATTTCTCTACATTGCATAAGGCTACTATTCTGCCTTCCGAGGTTAAGCTCTACCTCCAATTGCATTTCTCTGCATTGCATATGGCTACTATTCCTCCTTCCGAGACTAAGCTCTGTCTCCATCAGCATCGGCTGAAATATCGCCATTTTTGTTTAAGTCTTGCATCGGCTGAAATATCGCCATTTTTGTTTAAGTCTCGCATCGGCTGAAATATCGCCACTTCATTTGAGCTTGTATCGGCTGAAATATCGCCACTTCATTTAAATCTTGCATCGGCTGAAATATCGCCATTTTATTTACACTTACATCGGCTGAAATATCGCCATTTTTTATTTACACTTAGCATCGGCTGAAATATCGCCATTTTTACATACACTTAGCATCAGCTGAAATATCACCATTTTTTATTTACACTTTACATCAGCTAAAATATCGCCATTTTATTTAGGTCTTGCATAGGCTGAAAGATCGCCATCCTGCATTTCATAGGCTGAAATATCGCCAAAATTGTCCAAAGGCATCATTGTTCGGAGGCACCATTTTCATAGCCCGAGAACATTATGCCATGGCCCGAGGACCCCGTCTTATCTCTGCATAGCATTATTCAAAGGCATCATGGTTCGGAGGCATCATTCTCATAGCCCGAGAGCATCGTTTCATAGCCTGCGAATCCTTTATTATATGTTTCATGGCCCAGGACACCATAGTCCGAGGACGTCATCCTAACCGTCCAAACACAGCATTCATGGTCCAACGGGAACTTGCATCATGTTTAAATTTATGCACAACATATGCGCTCATGTTTTTATTTGCAGGTAAATCGGCTAGCAACGGTCGTTTCAACAGGAGCGATCCCGCTCTAGTTTCCGCAGCCATTTTAAACTCGTAGTAATGCTACCCCAACCGAATATCTCGAAAAAATCTCCATCGGCGTGTTCCGCCGATGGGTCTTGAACTACATATGGCCTGATTCCTGTAAAACCAAGGATATGCATGCGGCTTAGGAACCACAACTCGGTCAAAATTCTTCAAATCGTTTATTCGGTCTAAATTGGCCATCATATCTTTACTCGATAACTCTTTCATCCTTCCCGGGTAAAGAGGGGCAGCTGTTGATACGCAATTTTTCCCTATGTATTTTTATATACAAAATACTTTCAATATAGCATGTACATCCATATATAAGCGTGCCCAAGAGTTTTGGTATTTTTTTTCTAATTTTTAAAGATTTTAAAATCAATTTAATATCTATTTTATCAGTACAAAATCAAATAATTATTCCCAAGATTATCATTTTGGTGAATAATTTAATTTTATTCTCATATTTACACCAAAATATAATTAAGGTGATTTTTGTATATTTTTACAAATTTATTTGGTATTTAAAAGTACTNTTCTCTGTCAGGCCTGTTTCCAACATACGAACACCGTATCAATCACTACACGCTGTACCCAAACATGACTGCATAACTTTGCTGAATTCACACCTTGCATCATTTTACTCACCGGACCACAATAACATTTTCTGATCAACTTAGTCGAAATTCCCCGAATCTGATGCTCCCATTGCACCCCATGACATACACGGGTCTTACTCTAACTCTTAAAATACCGCCACAACGGAAGAGATGTGCAGAAATTCATGATCAATGACCGAACAACCAATCATTGAGTCTATACTTCTGACAAGAAACATTACCTCATTCCGAACCAAATAATGATCTTTGCTCCTTAATATATTTCACGTAATCAGATTGCACTGATCCTAAATCCAACAATCTCGTCTCACCCAGTACGAACTGCTCAGGCAATAAGCCACCCCGACATGACCAAAAGTCTCATATGATGCCACAATGTGCCAATAGGCTACCATATCGAACGCGATATAAAGGAAAGCAAACTTTGAGAAGGAAACTCAACTACACCGCTCGAGAATCATACATGCGACACGGTGGACTTAATTAACAAACACCCCGCTCGCGAATCATACATGCGACGCGGGCACACAGCTAATATAAGCTTTCCTCATAAAATAGGAAACAAAACACATAAAAACAGATATGGGGATCTGTACTCAGCTTCACACTGTTATGGCGCGCAACCCGATCCGAACAATATAACCATGGCGGCATGCCACCCGATTCACCCATAAAACTCGCATAAGGAGATACGCACCGAGCTAGATTGCTCATTTCAATAATATACCGAATATCGGTCACAAGCACACTAAGTGCATAATTCCATCCCTGGGGAGACATATAGCGCCAGAAGCCACAAAACTCAAGCACGACTGAGGTGCGATATACGATTCGAAATCTCAAAAGCATCCTGCTCATATAACATCATCTCTTCGCAGATCCTCAACACATAAGCAATTTCTCAAGCCGCCTCCCAACTCACACGGTGCAACGTATCACTACATGAAATATCTGACAACAAAATAACACCCTGACTACTCCTCCATAAGGAGCGCATTACTGAACTGAACACGTTTGGCCTGATGTAGAGCCTATATTCACATTTGAATCCATCCACCGACCTCAAGCCGATTCTGATCGCACTGAACTAGGCTAATTACCTTTCAAAGGTCCATAATAACTCCTCTTCCTCTCATAACACATAAGAACATCCATCATACTCGGAGAAATCATCCGCAGTCCGTGACTCAATAGACTGAGTGCCATCCAAGCATATATTCTCAAATCAA